AGCAAAAAAATCTCGGACTAAAACTGGTAACTTCTGACAGAGAGAGAACCGTATTTACTCTCTTTTTTGTCCTCTCAATAGTCAGAGAACCGAGTACGGGATCGATTTCCTGTAAAATCTGACTGATTCTGACTATTTCTGACTAGTCCGGACACGTACGGGATCGCAACTATTGATGTATGTATTTATGTAAAATAAGGTAATATCATATGTATGTAATGTAATGTAAATGTACTCATATTCATATATAGGAGCTAAAAACTACTTTAATGTAAATGTCGTTGGATAGATCACGAAAGAAGCATCTGCCAGATACAATAAGCATGCTAAAAAGATTACGGACGTGCTTAACAGCAACGAGAACTTGAATGGGAATCAGTTATGTTATTTATTTTAAAATGAACGGCGCCTTCACATTATGGCATTCGTACTCGTATACCTGTCGTTATTGATATACATATCGAGCCCTAACTGCCAAAATAACGTAAGCGACATTTTTTTAAAAATTTTCTTTTTGATGCAGAAATATTCCTAGAGCATCTAGATGCATTTCTGCATCAAAAAGAAAATTTTGAAAAAAATGTCGCTTACGTTCTTTTGGCGGTTAGGGCTCGATATGTACGAATATCAATGCACATTTGTTGATATTTTTGTCTATTTAACCAATGGTACGTATTGTTGATTTGTGGTCGCTGGGGCTGAGTGCATAGTGGTGCGTACTTCCGGTCCGTAGGGCCTGGCTTCAATCCCTGGCTCGAGCAACAACTAAATTATAATTTTTATTTTTTTTTTTAACAGCGGCCAAACCTCCGCTCGGCATTGGCAAACCTCCGAGCAATTTTTTCTCTTGAAAAGGCTTCTCATTAAAACCATTTGCCGTTCGGAGGAGGCATACAATTGTAGGTCCCTCTATTCGCGTTATAACCAGGGCTTGAAAAGGCTTATGTTGCATATTTTTGGTAATTTTGTTGGTGGTTTTTGCATATGTATATTCGACTTACGTGCATATTTTTGCATACTTGGAAGCATTTCATACTTTTTCGGCGAAAAAGAGATCATAGATTCGTGAAAAAAGGCGCATTCATACATATGATTTATAAACTCATGCTACCACGTTGTATGTATTAATTGTCCTTGATACAATGCGAGGCGAATTCAAGACAATAATATGTATGTGAATTCATATAACGAGTAATTCCGATTAAACAATAAACCAGTTTTATTTTGGTGGTTGCAATAAAAATTTAAAGAGGAAAATCTAATAGAAGAAAAGCAAAAGTAAAACGGAAATTTTGCAAAGAGTAGCAGAGAGTTCATGATTATACGGACCCAAAGACAAACGGATATTTTGTAACTTGACGCATAAGCATCGTTGACTGTGATGGTGGCGGTAGCGGTGACCGTGACGCAATGGATGGTATGAACTTTCACTTTAAAGTAGAAGTGATTTTGACATTTCTCTCTTTTAAACACCGACTATAATGTCATATGGTGAATTAATTAATTAACCCTTTACAAGTTGGCATTTTCTATTTTTCAATTCAAATTCAAATTCAATTACGTGCTGTGGACAGTTTTGAATTGTGTGTTTTGTTTTTTTTTGTTTTTCGACCACTTCCATTTAGAGATACATATGGGTCATTCCATGCAATATTTACACCTCAATATTTTTTTGGGGTGAAATATATTTTTTTACATTCTTTATCGAAAAACAGAAGACAACTATATCAAAAAAAAAATTCCCGAAATTTTGAACTCACGGGGAAGTATCTTTTTCAATTGTTTGCAGTTAATAAACTGTTTGTCGGAGAAAATCAGTTAAGGTATCAAAATGTGCGTAATTACCTGGATATAGAAATTGAAGCATAGTAATTAAAATCTATTTATTGCTGTATGAAAGCTCAGTTATGCAAGACTTTGACTTTGACTTGACTTGAAAATTGTATATCTGGCAAATGAGCAGCGCGTGTATGTGTGTAGTTACCCAAACCATCGCACCGTTTTTATTTAAATTTTCACTATTAATTCTTTTTATAAATCATATATTTTAAAAATTTAACATAATGAAACAACGTGTCCTGTCGAAAAATTTATTATTGAGAAAATTTATTTAACTTGGTCATCCCGCGCAAATCGCGGAAATTTCCAATCGATTTTAAACTGACTCCCGACAAGTTAGAGACTTGAAATTTTCAGCATAGTTCCAATCACGATGACAATGCAATTTAAAATGTAAATGAATTCTCCATATGGTCCAGGGGTCTTGATTCAAAGGCGGTCAAAAAATAGTAAGATTTATGGCTAACAGAGCGTAATTTGACAAAGAACGTAATACCACTATAAAATTGTTAAAGCTGCCGGCGCGCCGCGGCGGTAGTGTAGCAAAGCTATTCCTAGTCTAGATATGAACCTCGTTGTAGGCATCATATCAAAGAGATACAATTAAAAGACTCCAGATGCCGCCCCGCCAGAAGAATTTAAATATTGCGCCTAAATATATGCCATGCTACAGCGGAAATGGACGACACGCCATTTCTTTAAATAAAATTAACTGCTGCTATATGTATGTATATATGTATGTTTATACAAAACGTAAGCAAACAACATTTTGCTTGCCAAGTCTTCTGTCCTCTTTCATTGCAAGTTGAATTATTTTAATATCTATTGCAAAATTTTGTACATAAAATAAAATAACACTTTTTAATATACAATGCTTTTATAAATGGACTAAAAATTATAAAATAAAATAATATAAAAAAAAAAAATTTTTAAAAACAAGCTTTTATTTAACCTGCACAATCAAAGGAATAAAATGAAGTAGTGTAACAAAAGACTTTTTAGCAAGAAAATTTTGTCAAAACTGCACTAAAATGAATAAAATAAAATAAGTTTAGATCTCGTTAAAGTTACTAAAAGCCATTTACTGAAAGGAGTTATTCAAACTCTAATGAAAATTACTAACAATTTGTACTAATTTACTTCGTTTTTAAAAAAGCTAAATAAAGTTGTTTATATACTCTTCATTACCAATATGTTTTCGGTGGATAGCTATTTGTAACGTAACAGTCTTTTGAACTAATTTAATTTTCAGGTAACATTTTTTTTTCCTATTTAGTTAAAGACCAGGCTCATTTTACAAGCAACATTGGAAGCTATTCAACGTGTTATTGTCGCATAGTTAAACCTGTAATAAGAAGATAAGAATTACGTAGAAAATTTAAAAAAACGCGATATTTGTATTATTTCAAAAAGGAACGAACTCAAAAGAAGCGAAATATGAAGCCAAAAGAAGAAGAAGATTCTCGGATTAAATAATAAAAAATGTATTGGAACTACATATTTCGCCTATTTTTCTAGTACTTCTATTCTTCAAAATGCCATTAAAGCCGTTTTTCGTGAAATTAACCGCGAAAAACTCAACATCGTGGCGCAGTTCTAAGATCGAGTTCGAGTTTTCCGCGTTTTGGGCCATATATTTATTATAAATTTAAAAATCTAAATAAAAAACGAAAAATGCAGGGTGTTTTCTACTTCTTCATAAAATTTCTTTAAAATTGATTATTCTTCAAAAACGAGATTGCAAGAAAACCCATCCGATGCCTAAAAGTAAAGATATGCATGTGTATGTAGTATGTAAGCACCCATTTTTAATTCAAAATGTTCATATTCAAGTGAAGCGAATATAAAAATAATTGTTTTTCGTTTTTCTTTTAGCTATTTTTTAGGTAAATTAATTTAATTCACATATGACTGTATGTCAAAATTTATGTGCGCATATTTCTGGCATTACTAAAATGAAAGCTTATATATATAAACTGAAGCATTTAAAGAAATAATAAAGAATGTCGATGTTGCCATGGTTAAGTTAAATGTAAAGGTTTACATTCTTATTGACAACGGTTAAAGTGGATTTGCCATCGAAAAGAAGAAAACAACAACAACAATAACAGCTACAGCTACACTAACAATTTCGACTAAATGCAGGGATGCAAGTATCAGTGTGACTCAGACTGTTTTTTTTTTCTATAATTACGATGGAGCTGTTCGCCTACATTTTACCTTCCATACTACAATGGCTGTGCATATATGGCACTTCTGCTGCAGACGTCCTGTATGGTAAGTTAAACGATCAGCTCTTAAATGTTGCATATAATCGCCATATGTATGTATATGTAAGCGATCCTATTTGACTATTTAGTTATTTTACAGAAAAAGTAAAGACATTTTTTAATGGAAACATGGAAAATAGTGTTGTAGCTATTGTAAAGATTCCAACAAATTTCATATATATTAGTATATACATAGCTTAAAAATTTTGGTATAGATCATATACTAGGCCTTTTGTATTCATGGTGACGATATGTACCTACATGTATAACGTATGCATGAAATACATATCGATATATATGTATATAAATGACAACTTCTTTTTGCTTTTTAGAAAAGTACCCCTTGCATTTGCAATGAAATATTTAAAACAGATTTAGATTTTTGTGCAATGTTACTACAAGATTTTTTTTAGCATTTAAGGACATATTTTTTAAACGACTTTAAAAAACTTTATTTTTATTTTTTGCTTAAAAATTACTTGTTTATATAATTTAATTGAATCAATACAACTCACAAATGTCAAAGTTGAGTTATCATTTATGTATGTACCAAGGATGCACTGTAACGTAAATTTTAACGTTTACCAAAAAAAAAAGCAATCCTTTCTGTTGAAACGATGCAGTTTTAACGTCGTTTAGGTAATTATCAAAATAATTCTATTTTGGTTTTTAACGAAAAGAAATTCAATCGTTAATGCTGAAGCTATTGCATGCATTTAGGTGCTAGGTGTTAATAGTGAGCTGGCAATGGCATACAACAACAACAACTTTTCGTTGATTTATTTTGTTTCGATGTTAACAATTCAGGTTTGTTTCGTTTTAATTTAGCGCTGAAACAAAACGAAATTATTTTGATAAGTTATTTGATAAGCATCAACAAAACGAGGTATAGTTTGTAGAGCATCCTTGGTATGTACATATATAGCCCTGCTCACATACACACTCCTAATGTTTTAGTAAAGCCCCTAAATGCTATTTAATTAAATTATAGGACAGCAAAATATAACTCTTTGAAAATTAGAGAAAAATTCGATGTTTAAGTTTTTGTTACGATTTCTTCCGATTAGGATTGCATTCTGACGAACTCAAATCCGGTGCACTTATCGTTCCGAGGCGTGTTAATGAACGTGGAGAATTCCTGACTCACGATTTGGCCTATCGCCATGACCAAAACTATCGCTCTGAACATAGCCGTCGTCGTCGAAATGTGGCTAAAAGTATTGAAAAAGTACACTACAGACTGGATGTGGAAAATCAGACTATACATCTTGAATTAGAGTAAGAATTAATACAATTTATCTAAAATTTTCAATGTTACCATTTGCTAAGGTGAAGCGAGTGCCTATTTTCAAAAATTATAGCATTCTTAAATACATTTGTATGTACAGCGTGGCGACGAGTAAGTGTTACCTAGTTTTTTGCTTTTTTTTGAGAAATAAAAGGGTCCTTTATAGATTTTGCGAAAAAAGTATTTTATTGCTAATTTTCCCACAGATTTGCCTTTAGTTGTATCAATTAGTTTGTAAATTTTAATCCTTATTTACATTTGCCAACAGTGTAAACTTTGAGAGAAAAGTTCGTCAGATAATTTATTCCATATCTTCTGTAGCCATAGGCAAACTTTTCTCCATTTTGAGTCCCTTATACTCCCGCTGGTGAGTGGTGACTAGGACGGCCATTCATTCGACCAACCCTATACAGTTTTAATTTATTTTTTTTGTCTTTTTTTATACACCTGAAAAAGACTTGCGTGCCAAATGAACTTTTCTATCAAAGTTTATACTGCTGGCAAATGTAAATAAGGATTAAAATTTAAAAACTAGTCAATACAAATAAAGTAAAATCTGTGGAAAATTGTTTGTAAAATACTTTTTCGAAAAATTCGTAAAGGACCCTTTTATTTCTCAAAAAAAAAAAAAACCTGGGTAACAGTTATTCGTCGCCACGCTGTATACACATACATACATATGTATGCAAATAAAATTTACATTCATATATTTACATATATTCGTTGATAGTATGTTTTCCTATCCTTTACATTTCGGCAATTCACCAAACCAAATACGTAGACCACATAGTTATTTTATGGCACCGAACATGGTTATCGAGAGACATCGAAGAGATATTCGGACACGTCAAATGGCTATAAAAGGCACCGACTGTCATTTTCATGGCAAAGTGCGAGGGCATTTCGAGTCAAATGTAGCGATATCCGCATGCGAAGGATTGGTGAGTTAGATCTGAAAAGATATTTCCTTGATTGTAATCAATTTAAAAAAAAATTTGTTCTTAAATTCTACGAAATTTAATGTAAAACTTATTTCGATCGCATGCTTACAGCAACCTCAAGCAAGTTTGCGTCTTAAATCTTTCGTTTTTCTGTGTGTGTTTTTTATTTGAATGCGCTGCTATATTATTTTATATTATTCGAGCGTATGGTGCAAATCATACGATTTGAAAACGGTGCTATTTGGCAAAAATATTGTGGAGATATCTGAACAAAAAGGCAAACTTTGACTCTGAATCGATGGGTATGACGTAAATAAATGTTGTGTTTCTCGTAGTTTCCGTTTTAAATATTTATTACCTTCTTTACAAATAAATAATTTCAAATCGTGCCGTTTTCAAATCATACGATTTGCAGCATTGTATTATTTTTGAACTTTAATATCACTAGCTTAGAGTGAACAGCTGCCAAGTCCGTTTTTGTTTTTTTATTTTACGGCAGAGGAAAAAATATCCCAAAATAATTTTTCCAGGTATTTTGCAAACTTTTTCGAACAAAATTGTTTCATATTTTTTCATTTTCCTTTCCTACGTCACCATAAAGCCCAATTTTCCTAAAAAGTGGACTTTTCACTCTGACCAAGCGATACACTATTTACAATAAAATTTGAAGTAATTTTAAAAATTTCATACTTTTTATATTTGAATACAGGTCGGTCACATTAAAACCAAAAATCATGAATACTACATTGAACCCTCGAAAAACGGTCACGCTGACACAGTAAATGGGCGTGCCCATGTACTATTTAATAGATCATCTTTAAAAGTAAAGGTAAATATGAAATTAAACTATATTAAATTTAACTAGACTACTTTTTATTAAATTCAAAAATCCAATGGAATGAAATTGCATGCATACATATCCATGCGCATTATCGTGGTCCTTAAAAAAAAATCAAATGAAATTTTTTTTGCCAGTCTCACCCCCTCAATGGGTAATAACAGGGTCACAGATATCGCATAAAAATGTTGGTCCCGATTGGAAACGGTTAAGGTGTGTCGCACGGGGAGCAAATTTCAGATTCCAAATTTTTTTTCATATAATACCCAATATTGATACTATCATAGTCATAGTCGATTAAGGCGTGTCGCAAAGGGGTCAAAGGCCAGAGGCTATGGACTCAAAAAATTAAAAATATTTTACTCATTTACTACCCAAAATCGATACTACTAAAGTCGAGGCTTAGGAAATCTGATGATAAAATTTGCTTTCTACATTTAAGGACCACCCTAATGTACATATATGTATTATATTTAAGGAATTGTTCTCTTTGCTGAATAGTAAAGTAAAGTTCTGTAAAAACAAAAAGATTAACTATTTTTCCAGTAGTGCGTTTTCCATAATCTAGTATTTGAATAAATAAATAGAAACTTTTTGGCATTTCTGGCTGAGTTTTGTCACTCTCTCTTTTTACAGAAGCAGAACATTAGTAAATCAATAAGCAATGAGAACCACAAACGAAAACAAAAGCAACGAGAGGCGCTCATCAGCAATTGCGGTACTAAGGAGCCCAAGTTACATAGCGAAACACGGCTGGAATGGCACGCGCAGGGAAAGGTATATGTACAATAAAAAGAACGCGTATTTGAAATTAATTTACACATGGACTGTGATTTGTTGTATCTCTCATTTCAAAGTTTAAATACAAAATATATATCGTCATTTAAAGTACAAAACCGCGTATGTGAGGTTGCATAAATTATTTTGTAGCGAGTAAAAACGCTCCTATTTCAAAATGGTTCTTTCTTTTATAAAGCAATCGCTTTTCTGGTTAGTATATTACGGGACGGATAAATAAGGCTTGAGTGAGAAAGGCTTCGTTGAGAAAATCCAATTTTTCCAAAAAAAATGACATTTACGCGGTTTTGTACTTTAATCGGCGATATACCGCCATATTTACATATATTTGTTCAGGTCAAAATTCAAGGTGGTAGAAAATTGCGACAACAAAATGTACACCAAAGAATAAAACATCAGCATCGACACCGACATCTCCATAAACATGAACATCAGCAACAACGACAACAACATAAAAACTCATTGCAAAATATGTTAAAGCGACGTCATCGGAAGTATCATCAACTATCTGAACCGCCATCGCAGCAGTCACCGCCGAATGCAGAAATGGAATTCAAATATGAGACTGCAACAGATGAGATTAAAGCGATCAGCGGCGGCAACAAAACTGATTTCTTCATTCCCTCTCACTTCGTTAAGCAAAATAGTGAGGCCGCCACAACAACAAGCACCAACAACATTGCCGCCAACGTTCAGAACAACAACAACAATAGAGACGACGACAATAAACAAAGTTTAAATATGGGAAACGGAAAACGCACAAAACGTTCAATTAGCAGCCCACGTCATGTGGAAGCGTTAATAGTGGCAGATGCAACGATGGTCGCCTTTCATCACAAATTGGAGACATATCTACTAACCATAATGAATATGGTATCGGCGCTGTACAAGGATCCCAGCATTGGCAATTCAATTGAGATTGTTGTCGTCAAAATGATTTTGCTGGAAGAGTACGAAGCGCATCCAGATCTTAATCTGACACAAAATGCCCAAAAGAATTTGGATACATTTTGTAGGTGAGTTATTGCTTAACGATTACTTAGGCGCGACGTTATGTATGTATGTATGCCCGATGTTTCCGGCTAGCCTCTGACGCTTTGGGCCGATGTGCATATGAAAAAACGTGTACATATGTATGCTTACGTGTATGTACATACCTACATATGCATACGTAATCGTGATAATGTATGTAGTTGGCGTTGTTGCTAAATTGCTTGCAGGCACATACGATTTGCATACGGCTCTGTGGCTCCCACTTTCTCGCAGATTGTTCTCTGTTGACTTTGTAGGCGCCAGTTGATTTTTTTTTCTTATTTCTCCTATACCTATATGTATGTATGTATTTACATATCGCTCGTTTAGTAAAAAATTGCCATAACTCGAAAAACAAATTTTTGAGGAAATGATGCAGAATTGAACTTGTTACAACATGCTTCATATTGTGAACAAATTTCGTGGCCAAGATTTTGTGTAGTTTGCGCGTAAGAAGACTGTATTCATACATACATACCTCTCCTTTTTTTTACATTTTGGGAGCAAATTGAAAACTTTGAACGCGTCTCCTGAAAATTTTCGTTTTTTGAGTTGCAAAAACCTTTAAGTAAATGAGCGATGTGTATGTGAGCATACATATTTATGCATGGATAAGGCTCGTTTTCCGTTTGTAATCCGTGTGGCGTTGGTGGTGCCTTACATTTTGTTTAGTGATCGAGTTGATGTGATAAGATAAACGCAATTTTAAGTCTAGACGTTATTAGCTACAGGAGAGTAGCATGTGCATTCACAATGTAAATACTTACTTATATGTAAAAATGTACATATGTTTGTGAGATATCACTCACAAAAGTTTGTTAACTCGTGCCTACCTAAAAAATATAATATTCCATTAGGCCGAACTACAAAATATTGACAATGTATACTTTTCCAAAACGCATCCGAAAAGTTATCGCTAGAGCAATCAGCGCATCATAAACAAAGTTGATGCTTCGTTTGTTATTGGTTGCCATTGGTGTTTTAAAAATGGAAAATTCGGAAAAATTGTTCATTGCTATATTGAATATTTAAAATATGTAATGTATATTGTTGCAATGTGTCGCAACTCTTGCAACGTTTGGAAGCCAGCCATTCTTATTATTATTTTTATTAACGTAAAATGAGTATTGCAATGTTAGCACCGGCACTAACAGATGTTTCACGCCAGAACTAGAACTTTGTGAATTAATGTAACGATATACATATATATTATTAAACGTGCGATATGATCAATACAACTCTCATTCAAATTTTGTTTCGATTTCACTAACTTCTCCAATCATCCAGCTGGCAGCACAAACTGAATACAGTCAATAAGGACGATACATATCATCACGATGTTGCCATTCTCATAACAAGGACGAATATATGCGGTAACAATTGCATGTAAGAGTGGCTTGAATACTACTAGCTACCTTTTTTGTGTATTGTGTTTTAAGAAACCCATTTGTCACTTCCAGGACTCTCGGATTGGCTAATGTGGGTGGCATGTGCAAGCCGAAGCAGTCCTGCAGCGTCAACGAGGATAATGGTATCATGCTTTCACATACAATCGCACATGAACTGGGACACAAGTAAGTTAGTGTACATTCATATGTACATTTATATATTCAGCAGATGTATATATATTCAGTAGATGCGAATATACATATGTATGCACAAACATATCCTGCAAAAAATTTTATTATATATGTTGAATTTTAAGAAACTTTATTTTATGTAAATTACGCATTTTATTAATTAGATTTTGAAGGCACCTTAATAAGTACCAAAATATTCGGTTTATGCCGACTCTTTCAAAGTTCAGTTCATAGTCCAAACGGGAAAGTTGTGTAGGTGTAGGTGGTCCTCTGTTATACAGCGTTGGACCAGAGGTGGTCCGGTAAAATTACATCGCAGTGTTAATGTAACCATTTTTCCCATATATTTGGACCACGAAAAAACGAAAAATAAAAAAAACAGCATCAAACGATCCATCAACAAATCTGTTTTTTTTTCATTATTGTAAGCCGTTTTGTTTTCGTTTGCAAACGGTATCTCTTTGATATATTTTACCAGCTCCATATATGTAAAAATATTTGTCACCGCTCTGGTTATTCGATAATCAATATGAAAAAAAGTTTAAACAAAAAAAAAAAACCATGAAAAAACGGCGCAACTGTTTGTGAATGACCAACTTAACTTTTATTGTTTTATGCTATTCCACTTCCGAGTGAATTTCAATGAATTCAAAGTGAATTTGGTTCGAATTCACTCGGAAGTGATTTGCAGAACCTGCCTGATAAGCGTGGTTTGCTATTATAATATTGACCCTTCGAATTTTCTCGAATGTCATTTTTTTTTTAAATTTGCCGTAATATTTAAATTATTTGTTTTGCTTGCCTAAGTGCATTACAGTTAAGAAGCGCAAAAGTTCTTGATCGAATGACATAAGAAATAACTTAATAGAAGTAATTATTTTGTGTTTTGTAAGTGAATCTATCACTGCACCATGGTAAGTACGGCTAAATTTTTTCTAAATGTCTCCCAGTTATTTATGCAAAAGAAACTAAATATAAGATAATTACCAATATAAGTTTATTGCTTAAGGAGTTTCAATGATTTCCTTGAAAAATGCCATGAAGGATGTGTAAAAAACTTCAACCTATTAGCTTAAAAAGCTAAAAGCTTAAAAAGCATGCATTTAATGTTAAAAAACAGTACAATGCTTATCGGTAAGTATACTTTTTTCTAACAGTTTCTAAACTTATTTATTCCTTCAGAGCTTATTTACTAAAAAAGTGACATTCTGGAAAATATTTTACAAAAATGCAAAAATAAGAAAAATTAATTAGTTTTTGAATAGCCTGAAAGTAGTTTCGTGTTCTGCAGATGATAAATTTGCCAATATTAAAAAAAAAATTAAATAAAATACAATAAAAAATACTTGCTATTTATGTACACTTTGTTTGGAAATTGCCCACATATTAGACTTTACAAAAAATACCAAAAGCAAGCTGTTAGTCGCACAAAGAACCCACCTGTTGATTGCTTTGATTAAAACTTCTTTGACGCATGTTCTACTGCATACACTTTGACACACTGCATACACATACATATGTATGTATAAGCAGAGGTTTGCATGAGTACGGTATACTTGTGCAAGCTGTTTCAAATGAAATCCACTTAGTGCCGTTTTCTCAAGTATATTTTTAAATTTACACACATTTAACACATGTTTCAAAACAAAGTGATCATTTAAAGGGCAGATAAATTTTAAACCTACTTGAGTGTATAACGCGCAACAGTTTTGTCAGACGTTTCCAGCTGTTGGGAAACTTAAAGCTAACTATACACCTATGGTGATCCTTTTGGTCAGTTAACTAACACTTTCCTCCAATTTCCTAAAAATCCATTGAGATCAATACATTTTTTATGCAAATGCTTTATTGTTATTGCGGTTGTTTGTAACAGACTAAAGGAATCGCTATAGATTAAGACAAATGTATATCTATGTATCTACATAAATGCTCAGAATGAAAAGAGAAATCGATTAAGGTGTGACTGTGTGCCCGAGAAAAATATTTCTTTCGAGTCAAGGACGGATGGTATTGAAAATAGGCAAGATAGAACAATAAACACGCCTACCTCCCATGTAACGGTAGTCCTGAACCTATGGCGGAAAATAAGATTATATATTTTTGGAAAATGGGCATGGCCCCACCCACTTATGATTGCATGTTTACATATATCTCGGTAACTGCTTCACCAAATTTCTCCCAAACTTGGCACAGTTTTTGGTCTACTTAAAAGGTTCCTAACGGTTGAAAATTTTTAAAATTATACAACAACCACGCCCACATCCCATATAACGTGAATTTAGAGAAATACGAAATCTTCGATAAATCATAAACTACTGAAGAGAATTGATTCAATTGCAATAATTTTTTAGCAAGAAATACGCTTATAAAAAAATTTTCGAAAATGTGTGAAAAATACGTATGCGTATCTCGGTAACCCCGCTTTATCAATTTGTACCAAACTCTGTATAATTATTGCCCATGACACATAAAAGCAAGACGTTGAAAATGTTTGAAATCGGACTAAAATTACACCGACTTCAATGGAAATTTCAGCGGGAACTTCGGCGTAAATTAACTCCAAGGTAATAACCATAAGAATGAGCTATTTGGGACCAGTATATGGAGCTGAAGAGGGAGGCGAGGCGTATTTGCCGCAATGAGAAGAGCGAGGTCGAAATATCTAAGTGCGAAGAGCTTAAAATGCTGGCGGACAGGAAAAACGTGCGAAAATATGACCAGAGAGTTAGGCGACTTACGGAAGGTAGTGACTGATGTCCAGAACCTACTTAAATTATGGAGGGAACACTTTTCCACCCTACTGATTGGTAGCAGCACTGAAAGCTATGGTGAAATCAAACCCGAGCCCTCAGTCGATGATGACGGAGTCGATGTTCCACTACCTGACTATGACGAAGTACGAATAGCAATAGCGTGTTTGAAAAACAACAAAGCTGCTGGAGCTGACAGCCTGTCAGCTGAGCTATTCAAGTACGACGGCGAGGAGCTGATAAGGTGCATGCATCAACTCTTATGCAGAATATGGTCAAATGAACGCATTCCCGAAGACTGGAATTTAAGTGTGCTCTGCCCAAGCCACAGGAAAGGCGACCCCGCCATTCGCGCCAAGTACCGCGGGATCAGCCTTCTAAGCATAGCATACAAGGTCTTATCGAATGTATTGTGTGAGATACCGGCAACGAACTGATTGGGCCTTATCAGTGTGGCTTCAAATCTGGTAAATCCACCATAGATCAGGTATTCAGTTTACGCTAAATCTGGGAAAATACCCTATTTGTGTCATAACATCAAAAAGCAGAAGTCGAATTGGAGAAGCTCGGACAAACACGTAGAAAACGGTTCAGCGCCAAACATTCATTTATTTGAATCAAATATGACATACTATTCATCCCCAAATAAACTAGGAAAAACTCGAACCTTCTATTGAAAACTCAAGATTTGTATGAAAAGAAAAAACTGGTTTGTTCGATTAAAAAATCCGGTTTATACGATATTCGAACAATCAATATTTCAAAAACCGAGTCAATCACCCTATTTCAAAGCACCTTCCGTTAGCACTAAAGGGAAACTAAAATAAGTAAAGTAAAAGCAAAATGACGTTGAGCCATACCACCAACTCCGCCAGAATTGAGAAAGTCTTCTTCGAGCCGTTTGATACCAAACGAGGTTTCAGACAAGGTGACTCTCTTCCGTGTGATTTAATCTGATTGGCATCGACAAAAACCTCAAAATCTGTTCTGTCTTATTTAGAAACCAGCATTTACGCGTTGGAAACGGCGAGTACGAGCTTTACAACGACATAGACATAAAGCAGCGAATTAAAATACAGTGGCTCCGCTAGCTTGGCCATGTCGTTTGAATGGACAACGATGCTCCAGCTTTGAAAGTATTCAACTCGGAACCCGCTGGTGGTAGCAGAGGAAAAGGGAGGCCCCCACTGCGATGGAAAAACCAAGGGGAGAAGGAATTGGCTTCACTTGGCATTTCCAATTGGCGTCAGTTGACACAGAAGAGAAACGATCTCCGAACCAAAATCGCTTAGGCGGTTACAGCGCTAAATAAGAAGAAGAAGAATACGTGCGCGAGTAGACTTCGCAACTTGTTTTTCTTTATGTTTTTTAATTTAAAACGGACGAATTTGTAAATTATGGTCCAAAATGTCTAAACCTTGTCAAACCAGTCAACCAGTTAGTGAACTTAACACCATTGGCTACAACAAGTTCGGCATGAAATTCGTTTAAAATTAAGCTCGCCAAAGTTCACTCTTCCGGTGTAATTTGACTCTATCTAAGTCAATTAAATTCAGCGGGGAAAACTCGAATTCAAAGTAAAATAAAGACACAGTTATTATTAATCGATTAGTAGTGAAGACAACAGTAGATACCAAAAAAATTGAACACTTCATTTAAACATACGCTATTGATGGTCCTGATTGTTTGCATCACTATATAATGGAATGGTCTGCGAAAAGGATCTTATTTTTTCAAGAAAAGCTAGTTAAAAAATAACACACTTTACGTCAAGTTGCCGATCATGTTAATACGGTTATTCACTCAATTTCAATAAAATTTAAAGCCAAAGTAATTCATTCCCCATACCCCAGTAAAATAATTATATGTGCAATATGTTTTTCGTCATTTTCGCTCTATGAAACAAGGGTAAAACTTTTTGTTGTATGCAATTATAATATTTAGCCCTTAGTTTATAAGTATTATCATATGTTAAGTTGATATTCGTTTGTAATTTTTTCTACCGTTATTACAAACAATAACAAAACTTAAACATATATAATCTATTTTTATAATAAAATCGTTTTATTATTTTTCCATGTATATTATGGCCCAAAATATCCCTTGGCATTGAACTATGCGAAGAAGAGCCCGAAAATATAACACGAATGAATTTTTGTAACTTGAAAGGTAGCTAAATAACTGCTGAAGTAATCAGACTGAAGAATTCATGCAATGCTTCTTATTCCTTTAAAATTCCCGACGACTATGGAAATAATAAGCTTGGTGGCCCTATACAAACCCCAAAAGAGTGGTGCAAACGACATATCCAAAGGTTAGCTACAAGAAACAGCATGATTTACCGCAAAACTTGAAATGTATTTGAATTTCTCTGCTACAAGTAAAAGTTCACAATAAATATTAAACACAGTTGTGGTACTTAAGGCGGAGAAATAAATCGCTAAACCACAGCCCACTCTATGGCACGAAAATGCGTTTTTAGCATTTTACCAAAATTACAAAATTTGTAGGAAGAATTGAAAAACGATATTTTCATGATGAAAAAACTTCAATATAAATAGATTCAGATGCCCACCATAACTATTGGAGAGTCATTCGGCTACCATGACAAACTTGTCCTTGACGAAAGGGATCTTTGATTTAAGGTAAAAAGCGTATAGCTTTGGAAAACATATAAAATCCTTTAAATTTGAGAAAAATGAATACCCAGAAGTAGAAACATTCTTTGCACATTAAGCGGGAAGATATTTGGAAATTCCAGCGGTAAAACATTGTTATTCATACCGTGCAAACAACAAAATCGAGGTCCATTATTTTGACCGGAAGTCCATTCTAGGGAAACGTTTCTGACAAATTTTACATATTTTTGTCCCCAGAATCCGAATCTGTGGTAAAAGCATGCATGTCGCATTTAAAAAAAATGGACCTCCGACCCATCGACACGTTGAATATTTGTTAATTTTTGATTTTGATGACGTCTGAAAATAGTAATTAATTTTTTCAAAGAGCAGCAAGATGCAGCAGACAATCTATATATCAAATGAAAGTACATAGATGTAATGCCCTTTTATCAGATATGAAATAGTTTTTCCCTGGCTAAACTAGTTCTGCCTAGATCCAATATATCTGTCCATTGCGGAAATAAGTTGGACGCAACAATATTGCGGACTGCGTACCTGGAGTTGGACTGATGAGGGTTCATTTTTTGAACGCCGAAAGGTGTTCTGCGCAAAAATACTGTGGCCCCTGATCTAACTTAGCCTAGGCAAAACTAGTTTGTCCTGAGATCGGGTTTGGTAACATATATATCATATCGGGCAGAAAAAGTCACAATGTGAATAAATTCCGGCTGTTAAAAATTTTGAAAGCAAAAACTGAAAATTGAACTTTTGGCCGCAGCAAGTGCTTTTTTCAGCCATAGTGTAATGGTACAATTAAATTATTTTGTTATAAACTAATGTATATTTATACATTTTTTTATTTTCTCTTGATAGAGTTAATGAATATAATTATAGCGAAAAACATTAAAGATGTAGTATAGGTTTTTCATTTAACTGGTTGAAGTGCGGCGCATATAATTATTTCACTGGGTTATATATATGCACAATATAATTAAATTTTCCGTTAGAATAGATCCATGCAGACTTCTGAATAATATGTACACAAATACATGTACATAAGTACGACTAATTGTACACAAATATTTTCTAGTAGTTTCAACTTGTTTACATTCCTACACTGGCTATCTTGTATTATTGCTTATTTTATTGTAATATCTGCATAACTATGAAATTAATAGTATGTGCGCACATACATATACATACCTATTAATACTTATATAGAAGTACATAAGTGTGCACATAGCCCTGCAGGGAAAAAATTTAACAAATTTCTTGTTCAGAAAGTGAAAGTACAAGTTTCGTCATTGTCAGAAAAATCAAAATGTGGCACCAACAGAATGTGGCTTTTCGCCTGGGTAGTAGAATATCCAATTATGGCGCTACCTTCGCCCATCTGTTTAATGGATGGAATCTATTTTGTATGAAATTTAACGTGTTTGAAAATATTTCAGGGGCGGGTTGGCTGAAAAAATCCTGGCCAAGATATTTTAAATTAAATAATCAAAAATTATTACTTTTTTAAATTTTCCACTCACTTTTTACCTATCGGGCAGGCTGGTAAGAATAGGTAAGTCATACTGGTAATTTTCACTTACCTAGTTAATAAATAAATTTGGTATCAAGATAAAGAAAATTTTATTGCGAGCCCGAGGCTATAAGGCCTAAATTCCGGTTGGCAAGCTTTTAAATCAAAATACACTGTAAGAAAATCTCAAGTTTTGAAATGTCAAAAAATGCCGAGACACGTAAACTTAATTTCGGGTCGTAGATTGCGGATCTGTGCACAATTTTTATAGATCACGACATTTTTGCCACGATATTTTTTTATTTAAAGTTTGCGTACGAATGAAAGACATCAAACTTTAACATGGAAAATGTTACTCATTTGTCATGTACGAGTATTACAAGTACGGACATTTACGATACGGCGTATGACTAACATTATTTCCTGTCCTGCTTTTTTGCAAAGCAACATATTAAAACAAATTTTTCTTAGTACAATTTGAAGCTTTTTCATAAAAATAAAAATATCTGGGGAAAATGACCTGATGTAGAAAAATGGTCTACAGATCCGCAATTCACGACTGAAAATTAAATTTACGTGTCTCGGCGTTTTTTGTTACATTTCAAAACTTGTGATTTTCTTACAATGTATTCTGATTTAAAAGTTCGCCAACCGGAATTTATGCCGGGTTTTTCGCAGAAACTTTGAGTCTTATAATGAATTTTCATTCCGTGTTGACTCATTCACCTACTGTATGTTCACCAAGCAAAGTAGTTCACTTCAAATCATTTGCACCACCCTATCGTATACCCTATTCACCGGTGATATAACTTTCACTCGCACCGATAAAACCGCAAAACAATTCACAAATATAGGAAATACTCGTATGTACGTTCAAAACTGGTTGTTTACTGAAATTTTATTTAATGGCTTTGACGTTATTCCAAATTCGAAATTTCTATGTAAAATGTCGTTCACCCGAAATCGTTCCATATTCATTGTAAGGTGAGCCATTTCGGTGAACGAAATTTTTCGCCGGTGAAAATTTTCAAGAGAATATACACTTGGGTGAGGGTCGTGCCCTAATGGGATCTAAATGTAAAGTGAATGGAAAAACTCCCCAGTTGAGAGACAATTTACTACTACATAAGTAGTTAATGTTTTTAAATGTCTAATTGCACTAGAATCGAATCAATAGATCAGTCAATTTTCCTACAGGGGGCTTACGACGCTTTGTTTTTCGCCTTAATCTGTGGTGTTTGAGTTTGTAATAAATGAGCGCTACCAAGAGCCACACAGTCTACCAAGTTCTGAATGACTCAGCATTGAATGACTTAATCATCGGAGTGTGTTGCGTTATTCAGTAGCTAATGGACGACTATCTATTAAACGCTATTTACGTCATAGAAATTGAATTCATAAATGGTTTAACAAGCTGAGAGGTATGGCGAGCTACGACATTTTAATAGCAAATTAAGACTTGACAGTTTCCATTCGTGCATTACAAAGATTTCCGTTGCTGGGAATCGCTACTTTTTTAAGTTGTTCATAAAATCATTCATACGTTAGAAAAGGCGCGAAAATTCAGCAATCTCTTATTTGAAACGATACCGTTAGATTATCTGATTATTTATTGAATGCCTAGTGTGATTGCATTTATCGAAAGGGCTTAAAGTTTTTTTTAGAATTTATGAAAACATCCAAACTGTACAATTAGTCATACATACAAAGCTTACATATTTAATTAAAATTGGGGGATACACAAAGTCTCATAAAATTAGAAGTCCGAAGGAAAAATCTTAAAAAATTACACAAGTTGTGAGCAACCTTTTAAAACTACATATCGATGGCTGAGTGGAAGATCGACATCATATCTCGGCCGCCAGTTCGAATACGCCCTGTCCCAGAAAATGTTTCAACAACACCCTTCTTCAGAATTTGATTAAAAAATGCCCTATCTCAGCTGCCGATTCAAAAACACCCTATTTTAGCTTATTTTCAATGTACATATTTTCGTTTGAGGTAGGGTGTTTTTCAATCAAATTCTGATGTAGGGCTTTCTTGAAAAGTTTTCTGAGATAGGGCGTTTTCGTTATGCCGTTAATACAGAACTCATAGTTGTATGTTTTAATTAATCTTTCTATGCGAGAAAACAACAATTTTACGATCTTAACATTTTGTGAAACCCCTAAATGTGTACCTAAAAATAACATTTAATTCTACCGTAGTTTCGGCATGTTCCACGATACCGCAAAAATCGGATGCCATCCTCGAATCGGCTCAATTGTTCACATAATGACTCCGACTTTTGGTGCCGATACCTTGCAAGTTAGCTGGTCGAATTGCAGTCGGAAATATATTACACAATTTCTCGAGTATGTTCCCAGTTGGAAGATTCTTAACGAACCAATATTGACCTTTTGTACATTCATTAAAATTTTGTTGTCGCACAGCCAGGGTCTAGGCAATTGTTTAGATAATACACCAACTGCGGTAAAAAAATACGTTTACCCTGCTCTGCCTCCCGGAGTACTTTTCGACGCCGAGCGGCAATGCCGGTTGCAGTTCAATCTTACGGACTCCGACCTCGATGCGTCATCATGTACGTCCATGAATGAAATCTGTTCAGCTTTGTGGTGCAGAGTGAATGGCGAATGCGTAACGAATATGCGGCCGACGGCACCGGGAACCAGTTGTGGCGATGGAAAGGTTAGTTTCTATATAATTCTGTATGTAAAGGGATGCCATATATTGCGATAGTAAAGATTTATTCGACATTCTTGCATATTTTAGTGGTGCCAGAATGGGAAGTGTGTGCCTATTGAGCAAGCTCTGCCCGTTAACGGCAATTGGGGCAATTGGTCTCAGTGGAGTGAATGCTCGAGAACTTGCGGTGGAGGCGTGTCTACGCAAAAACGTGAATGCAACAATCCGGTTCCGGCGAATGGAGGTCTCTTTTGCATCGGTGAGAGAAAAAGGTTCGAATCCACCTACATACATATATACAGACAGATGCACATAAATTCATTACAACTTTTACCCACACATACAATGGCTTTAGATATAAAATATGCAACTATCAACCATGCCCGGCGGGGGAGGTCAGTTTTCGAGCAAAGCAATGTTCAAAGTATGACAATGTGTGCTATCAGGGTGGAACTTATAAATGGCAACCATTTTTCGATAAAAGTAATTAATTGTAATAAAAAAAAAATTATCTCTAAATCTTGCCTAGGTATAATTGAAAGCACGATTTGAAATTTGCAGAGAACTCGTGCAAGTTGCAGTGTACTGATGTCGACGATACGATTATAGCAAACTGGGGTGAAATGGTGGCTGATGGGACTCCTTGTCGCGTTGGCACCAATAATATGTGCATCGATGGAATTTGCAAGGTGAGACACGAGACGTATACATACATATATTTATATGCATATACTTGAAATTAATTTGGTAACACCGTGAAACAATTTTGGGATTCACATTTTCGTTGTTGGTGTTTTCCGTCATCCCTTGTCAAATTTGGTTTTTTTTCGAAAAACGACACTGAAGATGGCACCACGCCGAAACCGGTTTGTCTCCAAACCATATTTGACAAGGGATGACGGAAAATCGTTCGACATTACATCAATTTTTGGATTGTTTTAATGGCATCGACGAAATAATGTCCCATCGTTAGTATCCCTGAGAGGTAGGTGGGTTTTCTTCAAGAAGACAATTTCTTAAGACGTGTGTGAATCGGTAACAAAGCTGTTGAATAATATTTTTACTATGGTGAGACAGTTTTGCCAATCTGCTGTGCGAATTGAAATCTTTTTTAACAGCAGTAAATTTTTGATCACCGGAGATTTATGGTGCATTTACATGGTATGAATCTGTTCATAAGCCGTATGAATTTTCCTATAAAAGAAGCACCAACTCTATGAAGAAATGAATGAAAGCGATATATATTTAACAATTTTGACTTGTATACTAGACAATATTTTTTTTTGTAAACAACAAATAAAAATATTTTATTTTGTGCTAGCTTCGAAACTAGAAGCTTATTTTTTTGTTAAATGTGCTTTAAAAAGGACCTACTGCCAACAAAGCCTTGTGCATTGCTATTTTTCCATATTTGTAATGCTTCCATTTAAACATCTTTGAGGAAAAACAGTTTTTTGTTCAGAATTGCTTGTTTACGAAACGTTTGGCATAAGTTGAAATCATAGGGATGCCGTTTTCTTCCGTTTCTCAGTGGATTTTATACTTGAAAAGGCACCAAAATATGTATGCAATACTTCTACATATCTTCGTTTAAAGCACAAAACCGCGCATCAAGGAAATGCAAAACCTCGTATGGGAGGTTGCCTAAATTTTAAAAACGGTTCTCTCTTTTAAACTTAATAATCTTCTCTCCTTATGTCTAAGTCGATATTTTATTATATCGATATTTTATTATAAATGGCTAAGGGCTTGATGTCAGGAGCTTCCAATGACCAAATATCTTTTTTGGCACAAATTTCAGTTCCGAGGTTTTGCAGAACCACGATACGCGCTTTTGTACTTTAAACGACGAATATGTATATCGCTTGAACAATATGTTAGTGTTTGGCCTAGCTTCTCCTCCGATATGTGGCGTGCGCGATTTTGTCACACAAAGTAAAGGATAGTTTTACGCCGACTCCGAACGGCAATTGTATTTTAATGAGAAGTTGTTTCCATGACAGAAATACACTCGAAGGTTTGCCATTGCCAACAGAGGGGCAACCATTATTAGAAAAAATTGGGCTTGAACTCAGGCTCTGCGTAATGCTCTACAGCAGCCGCCACTACTTTTACATATATTGCTAGTATATTCAAAATACTATCCCGAACTTCGGAGTGTATATATGTAATATAAAAAAGAATGAGAGGTACTATAAAAAAATGTACCCAAAATTCTGGAGCAAATGAAAAAATGCTCATTGAAAATAGTTCACATGTATAAATTAAAAGATATAACTTAATAGGTTACAGCGCTAAACAAAAGGAAAAGTTAGAAAAAATAGCAATGCGGTTTGTTATCATAGTTCTTCGTATTTTTATTGTCCACTAAACGTGAGTGGCTTCAATTTAAAAAGTTCTAGTACAAAGAATTTCTTTGTTTTGAAATTGTTTGTTTATTGTTTTTAATTTTTAAAATTCATACTTTTGACATGTATGTGAATGGCGGAGTTGCCGCTTT